TATTTCAACAGCGCCACTTACTCTGTGTTTGACGACTATATCCGTCATCGCTTGATTATCGCGACACACACTGGAGCGCACTTTGCAAAATGATCGACACAGTTAACTGGTTAATATGAGGAATTTATTATAGCATCAATCGAACAAATAAAAAGTCAAACGTTGCCTTAATAATTTTTTACACAATTCTGTTTTTCGCACGACGGACGAATTCTGCTTTACCCTGCACGTTTGCAAATTGAGGGAACAGACCGGAATGATTTGAATTCCTGTTACAATAGAATGTGAATACGACTGCGAGGTAAGAGTCATCGACGACGTTTTATTCTGAACGAAAAGTCACGGTCGCGAGGTTGTAGCCAAAATCGGAAGTTCTTTGGATTGCAGCCACGGAACCAAGCACCCTTGCCGAGGATAATCGTAGATCAGACTGAGTAAAGAACGGTCGGAGCGCTTCGTCGGCTATTTTTAATTCTGGCTGTTCTCTCGTGCAGCTAACAGTTTGTCCCTATTACAATAATTCTCGTGAATCTCACGATTGATTTTTTTGTTTCATTGCGAAAGAAATCGTCGGGCAGTAGCTGACGCGAGTGCACTTTTGAAATATAGAGGAAAATCGTAGAATTCGACTGGGGAGTTCGAGTGGAATCGAGTCGCGAGTGGACAGAGCAACGTATGCATACATACATCGATCCGGATGCTCTGAATCGCTCGTCCACTGTGCCGTGTGTGCGACGATCTGTTAGTCTAGTAGGTGCAAAGAAAAAGAGTAAATCCACTGATCTGATTTTCCACGGGGAATACGTTCACGACATGTAGACCAATGAAAACAGTACAGCTGACGGATTACTCGGCAAATATACTGACACTTCATCGTGAGTCTCTAATCTGATGGGTCGATTCGACTGGCAAAAAAGTAGTGAAAAAAATTGCTTGAATTTTTTAAAAGAACCTGCCTCTCTGACGTATCGTTATAGCGCGTCAAGGCGAGTAAACCAGTGGAGACATAGCTGATGCAGACCTGACGACGTCGTAAAGCACTCTACGCATACAACAACAACAACAGGAAGACATAAGATACATACGACCTCACGTCGCGTTACTTTATTCGATATACTGCTCCGCGTGTCTCATAATTTTTTCACAGCGGTGCTCTATTTCGATTTCTCTTCATTTAATATCATTTACGTGTAATTTAGTGTTCTTTAACACATTCCGTGCCACGTGTACCACCGGTGGTACACGGTAAACTTGATCGTCAGGCCACGTGTACCCCCGGTGGTACACGCAGTCATATTTATTTAATGCGCTGAAAACATATATTTTAATACAAATATAATTCTGTAAACTATATTTCTACCTAAAAAATGAAGCATTATACAAGATGCAGTAAAGAACAAAACACATAAGTTTATATTTAATTGTTATGTATACAATAATTAATAATTACATTTAATGATAATATATCGATCTTTAGCCAAAATATCAAATGGCCTGAACGACAAGTCAGGCAAAAATGGCTTGGCACGGAACGTGTTAAATAAAAACGTAATCTCTCCCACAGCCAGGAGAATATATGACTATAAATTGACAGAGAATATTGCTAGTTGGATTATATTAGTAATCACGAATATTTGACAGGCGATAGAGAGTAGATAATGTGCACGATAGTGTAATAACGACAACGCGAGGCAACTATATTATTCCTACCCCGTTTATATAACGTCGAGATAAATTTTCTTTAAGATGCCTCGAGGCTCGTTCGACGTCCCAGAACAGTTTTCTCATCGTTTTTAATATTCTTCTATATCTACCGACCTTCACGAATTCCTCGTCACGTTTCACGGAATATTGTGTGAAATGATTTCGGAATTCATGCGAACTCAACTGTGAAAAGTGTGTCTTTCAATTGTGATTACTCACCCTTCTTCGACGCGTGGAAGGAGTCATCTTTTGGCACGTACTGTATATCGTACTCCAGCGTCGTTTCCGGCAGAATGAGCTTGTCCTTGTTGATCTTGTACACGGCATACTTGAAGGCCAGCTCCGTACTGCTATTCTTTTGGTCATGAGTGAATATAGCACCTGAAATTAATCAACCAACGGAACAGGTCAGACGAAGTAGTAGGTGGAGCGGAGTGAGTGGTTTGTTAAATATCGTTTTTCGCGACGGTGGCGGAATTCGCCCATCAAAATGCACCCTTTCACGCCGGTATACTTAAAAACTGCTGACCCCGCTATTCTTTCCGGACGAAGGACAAGTGCCCACTCACAAGTTCTATCAGCGACGCGTAAAACAACCTTGCAAGTGTCTTATTAATCGCATTCCGGAACGGAACTATCATTGATCAATATTGCAGCATCGTTAATAACACTTATTGTGAATATTAAAACACAGTCCCGTTTCATAGAGGAAGATCGTGGAACAGTCTTCAGTTTTTCATAACGCATAGAATGAACAACTTCTGCTGCATCACAACTGATTTGCATTCTGAGGATCCATCGGGATAACGTATTCTTCGAGTTCAAGTCGAGAGCAAGGGTAAGCTCGTTTACTAATTGCTGATCGATGCTGCCAAACTGTGCGAGGCCACAGATAGGACCATGTCAAGGACTGTGTCCATATTAGATTGGCGCATGTGAAACCTTGTTTTGTTTCTCAAGCTTCGATTCCCTAAACGTTCTCTATTATATTCACTTTCATTTTGATTTTACTTTTATACTTATCATTATTGATCGAATTGAAAATGAAACTGTTTATCAGCAAGATTTAAAATAAAGACAATTATTATATTAACCCATTCGCTGCCAAGCCTAAATTATATGAAGTCATTCCTATTGCCATTTATATTTTGAGTGCTATTGTTTACCAAAACCCTGTTATTTCTTGGTAAGAGCACATATATTATCATACATAATCATTTAGAAGCAGAAAACCAAAGACGAGTATACTCGTCGTTGGCAATGGGCCTTCAAAAGAGCCTGCATGTTATAATATATTTAAAGCAGGACGAGTATACTCGTCCTGGCAATGCGTGACACCCTGCCAAAGACGAGTATACTCGTCCTTGGCAGCGAATGGGTTAATTTCAGTTTCATCTCATACATCGAGAGATTAGAAATTGTAGAGATGATATTATTCCAATATGTGTGTCTCATAAAAGTGAATGTAATCGGGAATAGTATTTAGG